ATTAAAGGACAAAGATTCTGAGAAAATAAACAATAGTATCAAGTAAAGGAGCTTCAAGAGAGATCAAACATGTTTGATAATACATTTTCATATAGAAAAATTAGCATAAATAAAACGATTCCCGACATATTTGTAGTAAAATAGCTAAAGACATAAAAGAGTAAGAAAGAAGGATTACAAAAACTTTGCGTACTTATGGTTGGTTCTCTGTGTCGTCGATGCCATTCTCAAACATCACATCACTGTGGTTACTTTTCTGATGACTTCTCATGCCTGAAAATAAACAAAGATCACTGGAAAATTTTCAAAAGGGTAGAGAAGATGAAAAGACTTGGATTGTTTCAAACACATTTCAACATAAACGCAATCGTAAACAAACAATCAAGGGCGAAGAAGAAGGAGAAAGGTACTTGCCTTGCTGGCGATGTTGTTGGAAAGCCAATCGAGATCCTTATAGAGACCTTCACCGGAAGTGGCACAAGTACTTTGGATGTACCTGTTTAGGAAGATAACCAAAAGCGTAGAAATCTCAAAATTAAGTTATGATTTGGTATGAATCCGTTCGATGAGTGAGTCTAAGTTTTTATACCAGTGGCGTTGGCGGAGAGAATGGAGGCCAAGTTTATCGGTTATCTCTGCTGTGTTCATTGCGTTTGGGAGATCCTGTTTGTTGGCAAACACTAATAGAACCGCGTCTCTAAGTTCATCCTGCAGATGGATTTAGGGGGTAAGCTAATGTGAACAATTTTCATATACATCATTTTCAGTTCACCAAAATTTAGCAATATTGAGGACGAGAGTAGAGAATCTCAACTAAAATGAAGTCTTCCTGAGACAATGTCTTACCAAAGAAGTTTGAGAAAAACAATTCCCAAGGATAGACAAAAAAGCTATGATTATATATATAGTGGAAAAGACAAAAACACACACCTAACTCAAAAGCATAGAAGGGAATTTCTTAGAGAAGCAAACACATGGAATCGATGAAGCTTTACAAACCTCATTCAACATACAATGCAATTCATCTCTTGCCTCGACAACACGGTCCCTATCGTTGCTGTCCACCACAAAAATCAGACCCTGAGTGTTCTGGAAGTAGTGCCTCCAGAGCTGGCGGATCTGTTTTCAGAAGAATTCAAATTAGTCAATGACTCATATGGAACTTGAATAGACTTAGCCACTCGTGATGCAACAGAAAGATGAAACATCCTCACTCGTAATATTAAGCAAGGTACTTCAATTCATCACCAAAAAAGTAAACAAAGAGGCTTTCGATGCACAACCAGATAACGTGCCATAACGATAGATACAAAAATAAACTTTTTAGAACAAGAAATGAGCTTAATCAATGCCATATCTCAATTTGAGATAATTACCTTGTCCTGACCTCCAACATCCCAGACAGTGAAGCTAATGTTTTTGTATTCAACGGTCTCTATGTTAAATCCTAAAAAGAACAAAACAGTAAGATGTCAAGAATGACCAAACTCATTTAAAAATATAGTCCTGTATTCGATGCACAGGTCCGAAGCATCCGTTTCTAGGAAGCTTTAAGGTTAAATAATAGTACTTTAGCTGCCTCGACTTCATTTTGTTACACAACAACATATCAAAGATATACTAACAAGACTTAACCTCATAAACGATCAATGAAAGTAAGAAACGAAAGTGTATACTCATCAAAAGAATCTTTGCCCGTACCAATGGTTGGGATTGTGGTGACGATTTCACCGAGTTTGAGCTTGTACAAAATGGTGGTCTTACCAGCAGCATCCAAACCAACCATCAAAATACGCATTTCCTTCTTAGCGAAAAGCCGACTAAACAACTTACCAAAGCTCAGTCCATAACTACCTACACATCATCCACCACAAACCAAACTTCACCGATCTATAATCGAATCATACCAAACCATAAACATCGTGAAAAACTACAAAATTCAGATCGGATACGAAAAACACCATACAACGACGATCAATCATCATCATTCAACATCAAGGATCTAAGCTATGCGCAAGGAGACTGAAGAACAAATTTGAGCTTAACGGAACAAGAATTTACAGATCAATAATGGACCGAATCACAAACCTCAACTAATCTGATGATGACGAGCGAAGCCGATATGATTTTTCTGGAGAGAGATCAATAATAATTCGATATTTCTTCGATTTTCTTTTTTTTTATTCGCAGCGAAATAAAAATAATTTTAAATGACCCCAATAAAATAGCGTATTAATATTTCTATCCTTTGGAATAAGTAAAACTACGGATGGACCCCAGAAGAATTAAGTTTATTTCAGTTAGAGCCTAAGCTTTTTTTAAAGCTCCTCATGTCCTGATGATATGGAACCTGTGGACTGCGTGCTGTTTTTTTTTGTTTTTGTCTGGTGAGAGATGTAAGTAACAAACATGCCATTTTTGGGTCGAGTTTAACGCGTGATCTTAAGGCATCTTTATGTACAAGTGGACATCATGCAAAGGCCTACAATTTCTAAACCCAGAAGGCCATGCCACACGCCACATGTACTTTCTGGTCAGATTCCTTGTTGAGATCAA